TATATATATACATATATAATATATATACATACATATATATATATATATATATATATATATGTAGGTGCATATATAAATACGTCAATACAAAGATACTCACATATACAACAACACACATAACACATAAAAAAATATATCCATACACATGTACTGGGCCTGATACCTTAAGTATTCTTGGGCCCTCTTGTAACATGTACATAGACCATTGGATGGGCTGGCGGATGATGGACGGCTTCATCCGATCAGTCTTCTTCCTTTTTGTATCTTTTTCTTTATGTTCGTTATTGTTGGTAGTGCTGGACGCGAAGAGTTTATCGATGCGAAGACATCGAGTGTCTTGAGCCGCTGCGGTTCCCAAGTAACTTAAAGTTGAGCTATTACTTGATTGAGGACTATCGATCGTGCGTGTTATTCTAGAATTATAACTTAAACATCTCGCAAGTAGTACGGGTTCAGGTTTCCTATCAATAGTCCGTCTATTGTCAGAATAATCAAGAAAACTGTGCAGCATCCTGCAGCGTTGTAACGGATTGACAACTTTCAAACATCTATTCCCTGCAATTTGAAGCGGACGTACCGCGGAGGACACTCTAATGACAGTCGTTAATATCCGCATCTTCGCTTGGTCTATTTGTTAAACTATGGGCTGAACTAGTTTGATGAACTTCGTAATTAAGAGTAAAGGCATAGGCAGTTCACGTTTATCACTTGACTTGGCGACTTGGTGCACGTTTCCAATTTACTAAATATGTACGTATACGAATCCAATAAAGTATGACGTGTTCTAATGGCTATGACGTAAATTATTATTTTTTCATACATACGTACCCCATTGGCTAACTCAATGCATGAGCTCTGAGCCTCCTGGAGAGAGAGCACTGTGTGAGTGGACCGTACATGGAATAAAAGCTGAACGTAAACGTATATTTATTATTCGATTTATAAAAGTAAAACGGGAAACAGGTTGAGGTTAGAAATATCTTCCAATACCTGAATACCACCATGATAAATAACACTGAACTTGAAAGGCGTGACTCGTGATTCGGGACTCTGGGAACCTTGAGGCACAACATTGTGTCGCTATGATTCTTTTATCCCCTATACTAATTATACTAAACGCGGCCAGCGCTGCAATTGCACTCGTTTCGCTCCAGCTTAGCCCGTAAGTTGACTAGTTCATTCCTTAAACATTCATTTTCTATATCGAGCATAACGAGTGCATCCATCATGCCCGCTTCATCATCTTCCCCATTTTTTCGTCCGAAGTCTGTAACAGAGCTTTTATCGGTCTCCTGATGGTCATCTCTATGCTCTAAGCTGTTCGGTAACGTTCCGGTTCCAGTTCCTGTTAGAATAAAGTTGAATAGAAAATTTTATACAGAAATGTGACCAGCTGCCGTGTATTTGAAAGAACTTCGCTCATAACATTCAGGAGGCGAATAAGTGCATATAAGGATAGTTGGAAAATTATATATATATAT